AAGAACATGTGCTTGTTTGTACATTTTCACTTCATCTTTTTGTATCACTTTCCACACACGCCCCCACCATCTATGGTACATACATATCTGTGAACATATAGATGTGTGTGTACACATATGTACACATATCTGCATGCCTGTGAGTCACTCGGCATAACTGCTTAACTTCCCAGGACAATGGGAGCTGCTTCAGAGGCAGAAGAAGGTGGGGTCATTTTCTTTCTTTCTTTTCTTTTTCTTTTTCTTTTTCTTTTTCTTTTTTTTTTTTTTTTTTTTTTTTTTTTTTTTTTTTTTTGCTTGTTTGCAGGTGTCACCAGAGAGCATCTGGGTCATCCCAAAATTGCCACAGAATGACCCAAGGGAACAAACTACTGCTCTTCTCCCTGCAAGCACTCTGTTCTCTGCACTGGATCATGACTGATGCCTCCAGACCCCCCCCCCCCATCCTGCTCCTGGTCCTTCCCCATCATGTCCTGTTCATTTGGAGGACTCTTGGCCAGTTTAGCATCACCTGGCCACTGCACCCTTCATCCCCTGCATTTGACAGCCTCATTTCCCTCATCTCTCTCTTCTTCTTGCTTCAAGTTGGTGTCTCAAGACACTTATGGACCTTAAACCAGCTTCACAATTTCTAATTTTATTTTCCAACCATAAGCCTAGATAAATACTTCTAATTTCAGACCGGACGTTCTTAATTTCCCCTTAAAAATATATTGTACTTTTGTTCATTTCCCTGAAAGGAAGGCCTTGATGCTTTCTAAAAAACTTCATAACAAGGGATTAAAATGGTAACTAGAAAACAAAGCAGAACAACCTAGGAAATCCTCCTCGGGGAATTCCACACAATTCCAAGGGTTCTGACATGATGCATTTCTGAGAACAGCATCGGGAACCCACGGTACGCAACGTCTAAAGGTGCTGGGAAGGCCAACCTAGATGTGCCTGTTACAAGTTAGATTTAATGGAATTGCTCAGCAGCTGCAGGGGCTGTTTGGGTAAAATTTACATGCAGAAAAGTTCTCCAGGGCTGTGGCAGGATGAAGGAGATTGTTGTTAAACCTGACTTATTATGAGTTTCATTCTCTTCTCCAAAAAAACACTCATCTGGCTCCTGCCAGGGCCACACTCTGAAAGATCCTAAGTGAGCGTCGGAAAAGTTCACAGCCCTAGGAAACAAGCCAACTTTTGGCTGGCTGTGGATCCAGTACTCTGGCCTTGCCCAGGGTGGGGATAAGACATCAGAGATTTGAAAATGGTGTTAAAGATGCTTGCTGGCGACGGTTGCCAAATGGTGTGAAGTCCTTTGACCTGTGCACACAGAAGTAGCTGAGATGAGAGTCAGGTACAGTGGGGCATGCCTGCAATCCTCTAGACTAGGGAGGTAGAGGCAAGAGCATCAGAAGACCAAGGTTCTCCACAGCTACATAAAGAGTTCAAGGCCATGTTTCACTACATGAGACCCTGTCTACACACAATCAGAAAGAAATGTACAAAACACAATTGTCCATGCTGGTGGGAACATTGGTGGGGTTATGGTGAAACAGTATCTAAATGTTCATGGGAGCTTCCATTAATAAGGGGCAACAAATCAACCCTCATGCTCCCTGCAGTTTGGTCATTAAGGTGAAAAGAAATAGAAAGGGAAGCCCTCTAACTGGAAACACAGGAGTCGGTGCCCGTCATACAATTCAACAGGAAGGTTTAAGTGAGAAGATAGATATGCAAATGTATGCATAGGTGATGTGTGCTTGGAACTTTCCAGAAGTATATATAATGAACTGGAAGTCGTGGTTACCTTATCTGTCTTAAGATCTGTGATGATGAGGAGTTCCTATATTTAAAAGTGAGATATGGGGAACTAGAGGCTCAGCAATTAAGAACATGTACTGTTCTTCCACAGGACCCCAGTTTGCTTCCTAGCACCCATGTCAGCAGTTCACAATCCCCTGTAACTCCAGCTCTAGAGAATCCAATACCCTCTTCTCGTCTCTATAGGCACCTGCAGTCATGTGAACACACATGTGAGCATAATTAAAAATAACATTTAAAAAGTTTAAATGATAAAAGGTAGAGTGGAATGTGGCTTGGTTGTGGAGTGTTTGCCTAGCATGTTCAAGGCTTTGTTTCCTCAGGGAAATAAGACAAAAGAAAGCAACAGTGGACTTGGAAAATGAAGAGGACTACACAGTTGTCTGATGCTTTCCCTTTCCTTAGTTTTTTGCTGAAATATTTTATACCAAATATGAAAATAATGGCAAAACTCAAAAAATTTTACAGCTCTTCTACTGTTTTCTAGAATATTTCCATCAGGAAAAGGAAAGTAATAATGAAATCAGATGTAGAAACGAGGACATGGTAGAACCCAGCTGCAGAGACCTGGTGACCAGCAGGCTAGAGGACAATCCCAAGACTTCATGGCTTCAGGTTGCTGCTGTGTGATTCCCACACTTGGCAAGGCAAGAACACTTGACCAACAACCAGCTGAATGCTGGCTCTTGTTTCTCCAAGGCCATGGCATTTGCAGACACTCTCTCTGGGTTCCCAGAGGGGCTGGGGAGCCTCCAGCATGAGCTGTGACATTTATAACTCCCGCTGGAATTTCCATGTCCCCAGCCCTTGCCTAGCCCAGGGATGAATCATGGCTTCTTAGAATGGTGAAGCCATTTTGGAAACAGCTGCCAAGGAGCAAATGCACTTAAAAATAGCTCTCGCTCCCTGAAAAATGAATTGCTTATTTTAAGAAGAAAGAGTGGCTTGAATCTGTCCTGCTTGCGTCTTTATCTCCTGGGCATAGTGCCAGGGCATCCGAGAAAGGCCTGCCTGTCAGATGGGAATGCCATCTGCAGTACATTGTAGTGCCCACGTTGGGGCTGGCATCTCTGGGCCAAGGCCAAGGGGTGAGGTCTGAATCATCCTCCTGGACCTGCATCCCAGGAGGCCTGGACTGTGGGGTATGAAGTTCTGCTTCCCCAATGGACCTGGCTTGCATTACTTTCTTGTCTTTGTGACCAAACATCCAACAGAGTCCATCGGGGAACAGCTGACAGTGAAGGCATCTATCTACATCAAAGTGATAATCAGGAAGGAGAGACTTGGGTGGGAAGTGGGACCAGGCTATTGCCCACAAGCCCAGTACCCATGATCTTATACCTACCAGCCAGTGTTTAAGTCTAGAAGATTCTACAGTGTCCCTCAAGTAGCACTACCAGGTGAGGACCAAATGTTCAAACACAAGGGGACGCTTCACCTTGAAACACTTTAGACCACTGGTCCCCATTGTGGGTGAGGGGTGGGCACAGTGGCTCAGAATCATGCAGGAGGAAGGCACTAGACTTCGTTCTATTCTTTAGAGGGAAGCTAAGCTCACCTGATACAGATAAATGAGTGATGGTGTCTTGGCGTAATATATCAGGCAAGAGACTCATTTAGCATCAGGTGATCCCCCTCATTGTATTTGTTCTTGCCCTGTGAGGCACTGTAGCCAAGCCACAGTGGCAAGGATAGGCATAAAAGACTGGTGTCAAACCTGCTGTACTGTGTACTGTGCAGTGGTGGAACATCCGGCCTGAACTGGACTGCCAGGACTGCAAAAGGAACTTGGTGTCTTAGAAGGATAGGGAGGGGACAGTGGGACTCAGAAGAGTCAGGGAAGTGAAAAAAACAAAACAAAACAACAACAAAAAACAACAAAGTGGAAGGAGTCCCGGTAAACTCTGTTTGAGTATCACAGCCAGGCTCCTGCCCTCAGGACCCTGTACAGTGTGTCTGGAATAAACGGCCCATTCTTCAGTGTGGCCTTGGGTTTTCTTGGGCAGGCATGTTCAAAGGCAGGCTCATCCTGAGCTGTGAGACGATATGATGACAGTGTTTGTTCATGTCTTTATAAGGCAAAGACAAGCTCAGTGGGTCAGGGCTCTCAGGGAGCTAACTGGGGTTTGGTCACAGAGACAATCATGTCCCCCTCCCCCTTTTGTCTTCTTTTTCTTTTCTTCACTTTGATCCTTTTCTTGCTTTGCATACTTCCACCTCGCCTCCTCTCTGTTCCCCTTCCTCTTTTTAAACAGGCTTGCATATCTCCCAGCTGGGGTCAGTCAAACTTCACTGTATAGTGAAGGATGACCGCCCTTGAATTCCTCTTGCCTCAGCCTCCCCAAGGTTGAGATTGCAGGCACCACCAGGTCCATTTTATGCAACAATGGGAATGGGACCCAGAGCTTCATGCGTGCTAGACATGTACTCTACCAACGCCACTATCCCCAGACTAGGTGTTTCCTTAATCTTATGCTAATATCTTTGTAAGTGTTAGACCCCCGGAAAACTCAGGCCCCCAGGGTCCCAGCCCAGGACCACGGTCACCCCAATCACCAGGCAGATTTGAAAACTTGCTGCAAACTGCATGAGGCTTTATTGTTGTTTAACAAGCTAACCCCATGTTAGCTCGGGTCTTTCACACACCCGCCTTGGCAGATGGCTAACAAAGACAGCTGGAACTGGCTGCAGAGAGATCTTATAGGGCAGCGTAAGGGGAGTGTCTAGGGGTACACACAGGCTCAGGATTGGTGTGCCTCCAGGCTTGGAGAGCTAGCCCTGTGTTGATTGGCCAACTGGTTGTTATGGCCCATAGGCCCTCCCAGGGTGGTTGCTATGCTCTGCACGTCATTGCTGTGCACTTGTCCATAAAGCACCCCCAGAGCCGTAAAGCATAGCGCCGCCAGCTAACTTCTGATTGGTGCCTTGCTACGAGGCAGGCATCTGACTTCTAGTGACTAGGACAAGGTCATGGCAAGCACGTGTTACTGTCATGGCTGCCGAAATGGGGAGCCGTCCCTTCATAAGGAGATGGGGAAGTGACCTGGAAAATAGTCCAATTAAAAGGAACTATGAAGTTTAAGCAAGAGTTAGAAGTGCTTCGCTTACAAAGAACTCAGAGGCTCTCTGGCTTTGTGGCATCAGTAGAATTCTGATTTTTTTTTTCTTGTATCTGCATTTCTTTCGTGCTGAATTTATTCCTGTGCCATACATTTTGGTTTCTTCAGTTTCTTCTGGGATATCTTTTTCTTCTGTGCAACCTCCTCTTCTGGCTTTGGAACAATCTGTTCCTTTTCTGTGAGGATCATCTCGATGTGGCAAGGGGAGCTCATGTATGGGTTAATCCAGCTCTGAGCTCTGTAAATTTGTCGATATATCTTAGGTGCTTTGTTCACCTGGATGTGTTCAATGACCAGAGAATCTACGTCTAGACACTTAAGCTCAGCATTACTCTCTGCATTTTTAAGCACGTGCAGCAAAAATTCAGCATTCTTCTTCGGCCACCGACCCTGTGTCCAGCCCCACTGTTTGGCTTGGGCGCACCTGCCGACTCCACCATTGTATCGCCGGAATGGCGCACATTGCTTCTTCAATGTGACATCTTTCAGGTATTTGGTGGCTTTTTGGATATGCATACCCTTGATGACTTGGGCAGTTTCATGGGTATTCTTAAAGTGAACCCGGAGATTTGAATCTCTTGACTTGCATGATTTTGTAGGATTTTCTGGGTTGAGAGAGTAGCGAACCATCTTCACAGGTTACCTCAGGTCCCTTACAGGAAGAGCGAATTCTGATGGTTTTAAAACAAAGAGACCATTCACACACCCACAGGCAGTGATGTGAGAAGTCCACAGAAGGGGTTCAGAAGCAGAGGGAGCACTGTGGGAGGGTCCCTGTGGCCTGGGGCCAGAATTAGCACCTTCAGGCTCCACTCAGAAAACCATGGTTTAAGAAGTGTGAGTTTTCCTTCCCTCTTTTCACTTATGAAGTAAGAACCACAGCTGCCAAGGGCAGAGCAGCCCCAGTTCAGGGCACCATGTGTGCTCTTTGATGTCACACCCTGCACTCTGGACTCTGGCTTCTTCCTAGGCCAGGCTTGGCTTGCTGCAACGATGACATCCTTCTTACCCTTGTGTGTTTCACTGTGTGACTTGGCCTGGACACTTACTCACCAAGAGCTCTGTGAAGACAACAACAGGACACTGGGACCATTGAGGACTTGATTGTCACAATCAGCTGGTGGTTCTGTTCTTTCTTTGGGGGCAGTAATGACTTGGTCCCCTCCCTGGTGGATGATTTCGCTGGGGAGGTCCCTGTCCCATTATATTTACAGACACTTAGCATAGTGACTGCTGTTTTCTTTACTAAGACATGAACTAAAATTAAACCTGGAACACTGGAATGGGGAATTATTGAATGAGTTCTAAGGAATTACAAGCACACGTGTCTGCTAGCCTAATGAGCAGGCAGTCTGCTTATACAGACACTCAAAGACTTACTTAGCCATCCCTGACTGCATGAATAGAATACACTTCTCCACTGGGAAGTCCACTGCCAGAACTTTTTCATTGAGTGACCTAAGGCAGAAAACACATTTCAATTTGGGATACAGAAAAAACAAACAAACAAACAAAACAATGACCTAGGGTGTGGATCAACTGGTGGCTTGCCTAGCATGTCCAATGTCCAAGGCAAGGGGTCCCAACTCCAGCACACACGCACAAAAAACAAGTCCAAAAAAATAAAAAAGAGACACGGGGCTGGAGGAGTGGCTCAGCAGTTAAGGTTAAGGGTACTGTCTGCTCTGGCAGAGGATCTAGGTTCAGTTCCTAGATCCACATGGTGATTGATTCCCTTGAGACTGCTGTGCCTCAAGGTTGATCCCTCTGCAGAAGCCCTTATTTGACATCTTTGGAGTCTTGAATGAGAACAAGAAGCCAGGGGGCTGGAGAGCTGGCTGAGCAGTCAAGAGTGTCTGCCATGCAACTGTGAAGATTGGAATTTGAATCCTGGCACCTGCATAACAAGATGAACATTCCTGCATACCTGAAACCCAGGCTCTAAAGTAGGTGGAGACTGGAGGATCTCTTGAGATTGCCCGCTAACAAAACAATTGAGAAAACATAGGCTACAGGGTTTAAGGAGAGTCCCTGCCTCAAAGGAATAAATGGAGAGTGACAGAGGGGACACCCAGTGTCTTTTTTATCACCTCTGTTTGTATGCACTCACATACAGACACATGGCTATGGGAGCAAGCCAAGCAAATAAATAAATAAAATAAATAAATAAATAAGAGAAGTTGAATATTTTCAAGTAGGGAAAAACATCAAAATGCTGTCACATTGACAGAAAAGGAAAGTAAGAGATGAAAGGAGAGAGAAAGAGAAAAAAGCGAGGAGGGGAGGATTGGAAGGGAAGGAACAGAAAGTGAAAGAGAAGGGAAAGGGGAGGAGAGATGGGAGGTCTGAGCGGAGAGGAAAGGGAAAAAGAATAGAGGAGGGAGGAGGGAGGAGGCCCCTGGCGGGGGTTCAAGTTCAGGAACACTAATAAGGAGCAGATTGGAAGGCTTCATGCCGTTTACATTTGTAAACGCCCCATAATCACTTGTCAAACACAAGACTCTCTCCCCAAAGCAAAGTTTTGCACATTTCCTAAACACATTTCTTTTTCTGGAGATGAATAGGGACTGTGGACAGGTGTGGAGTTTTGATAACTCTGCAGACTGTTCTAAAGCTTTTTATTTGTTGCCAAACATCAATCTGTCCAAGTTGGAGTTTGTTTTTCCTTTTTTTTTTCTTACAAAACCTGAAATTTGAGGTGAAATGTTTCCTGTCTTGGGATCCTACTCCCTCAGTCTTCCTCCACCACAGCCTCCTCTCCTTGTTTTTCTTTTAGCTGTGTTTATTTGTTGCTTTGTTTTGTTTTGACACAGTGTCTCCCTAAGTGGCCTAGGTTGGCCCCTAACTCAGGATTCTCCTGTCTCAGCCTTCCCAGTTCTGGGACCATGGGTGTGAGCCACAGTGTTGCCCTTTGCTTCCTCCTCTGGATACACTTTACCAGTCATCCTTGCTTTCTGTGCAAACTAAAGCACAGGTGGGTGGGAAAATCACTCCTGAAGCCACTGTCCTTGGCCTAGGGGAGGAAGGTGAAAGACAAAGTGAGAAGTGAGTGTGCCACACATCCCGTGTGCCTCAGCATCAGCCTGGAGGGTGTGCCTGTGGGTGCAAGGATGGGGTCACATGTGCCAAGTAACCACAGGCAAAACAGGCATCCAGGAAGCCAGGGTGTGACACAGAGGCAACTCCTGAAATGAAGTCGTGGACCTGGGAACACTGTTTGAACTGTCTCACTAGGGACCTGGGGCTCAGTAAATTACACCTGGAGCAAGGCCAGATAGTTCCCTCTGGGATTGCCACTCACCTTCCTGCTGCTCTCACCTCTTGAGACCCTTTGGGGTGCTTAGCTCCCCTCTTAATCTCCTTTCTTGATTTTCTCCCTGCCCCCCTATGCTTTTAACACAAACCTCTGCAGTTTCTCTACTTTAGGACAACTTCCCAAATGGCTCTTTGCAACCTTCCTTGTGGCTGTCACAGATCTTAATGCAATTCTGAGCCCATCTCTCCCCTCACTAGTGTCAGCCTTAAGAGGAAGATGCCATTGAGTGACACAGTGATGATGCATACTTTCACACATTTATCAAACATCTCAGAGAGTACAATGCCAGGCATGAACTCTGATGTACACTAGGGGTCTGGGGAGATCATGACATGATCATATGGACCCATTAGTAACTACACATAAACCTCTCTGCTGAGAGTTGTCGATACTATGGGTGGCTATGTGTGTGCAGAGGGGCCAAGGGTATATGGTAACTCTCCATATTTTCTACTTGAAGCTAAAACTTCTTTGAAAAAGTAAATCTGTTAAAAACCTCAATTGGTGGTTTCCCATTGCATCATTGGTGCCAGTGCCAGTGAGGATGAGGTTCCGGGTCAAAGGTATCCAGCTTCCTCTGCTTGGAATGTTGTGTTCTTCCTCCTTGGCTCAGCCTGAAGCTTTCCCTGCTTCTGGACTGGACCTGGAAGGGCCTCTCCATAAAGATTTCAGAACTGGGTGAGGGGAGTGGTTTGGTGGTTAATGCATAAGGTTGAGTGAGGACCTGAGTCTAGGACCCTGGCACCACATAAAGCCAGACATGGTAACACCACTCCGTAATCCCAGCGCTCTTAAGGATAAATAGAAAGTGGAGACCGGAGAACCCTTGAAAAGTCAAAGGCCAGCTAGCCTGGGATGTATAGCAGTGAAACAAGAGATCCTACCTCAGACAAGGTGGAGAGTGAGGACCAACACCCAAGGCTCTGACCCCCACATGTATGCTGTGGCATCCCCTACATGCATACACATATCATATGCACATGAAAGAGAGGCGAGGCGGGGAGGAAGAAGGGGAGGAGGGACGAAGGGAGGGAGAGAGGGAGGGAGGGAGGGAGAGAGGGAGGAAAAAAGAGATAGACAGACAGACATGGAGAGACTTCAGAATCAACCAAACTACACACAGTGCAATTAACTGTTGCATGTCTGTCTTCCATCCTGATGGCTGTTTCCAGCACTTTATGCAGAGACATTGAGTAGGCAGGTGAGGAATACCCGAACAAAGCAGCTTGATAGTCACAAAGAATGGCCACATTAATTTCCTATTTAATCCAGTCAGTCACACTCGGAAGGCAGGCTTATTTACTTCCTTTTATAAAGAAAGCTGAGACACGGGAATGCTAAGTGAGGCTGTGGAAGGTGGGGAGCCAGGATTAAAGTCTGTGTATGTCAAATTCAACTTGAAAAATCCCTCCCACTAAGCAGCAGTGTCAATCTCCACCATTCAGAGTTCATCTGGCACTTGAATACATTTTACACACTGGTACTGAAGCTTCTGTGGGTGGTCGGGCAGGGAATGACGAGGCAAGCTATTAGCCAGGACACCCGGCAAAGTGTCCACATCTTCCATGCAAGCCTTGGGCACTTTACTACGAAGGTATGCCCATAAACACAAAGTGTGCACACACATGAGTGGAGACACATGGTGTACTGGCTTGTGGTTTTTAATCTATAAAGATATCATAAACATCCTGTGGATTCGCAGTTGGCTTGCAGATTTTGCTAAGCACACTCCACGTGGCAGGGACCCCTTCTTCACAAGGTAAAAAATGATAGTCTGCATGTATTTAGACATTACTGGGGAGGGAGGGGATGGGTGGAGCCCTCACCCCACCCAAGGGTTCAAGCAGAGGCCAGAGCAGCAGCAGCCTTGCAAGGGGCCTTTATGGAGGTGGATTACAGCCAATGAAAGCTATCCATAGTGACAATGTAACCATCCGCCAGAGTAAAGACATTCCGAGGAGAGACAATGTGCTCCCCATGTGTCTATCTGTTAAGACAATGCCTACCTCCAAAGAGATAGAATTTTCCCAGCAATATTCATGTTGGAAAAGGAAAAGGGTGAAGCCTAGTGCCAGCTAGAAGGAGGATTTTTCTCCCAGGAAGAGAGGTCACACAGTTCTGACAACCTAACAGACCACTTTGTACAACTGACTGGAGCTGAGAGGGTAATGGGACTGATAGTGACTGACAGGACCACACCTTGACCAGAACTGCTTAGCTTAAGTATACTTTTCTTTATTTAATGTTAAACCTCTTTCAGGGCCCTTAAGAAGAACTTGTGTCTTTGAACCTGTTTGTCTCTCTTGCCAATAAGACCACTGCATAGATATCTTGTTTTTATGATTGCTCTTCTGCCCTGGGCAGCTGTTTTGCTCAGGTGCCTAGCCCTCGAGAAAACACCAGAGTGGGCAGGGGAGGTGACTTATTTTGTCTCCTTGGCTTCTTGAGGGCTTCCCTGCAAAGTCACATTCTGACTCCGACCTTTAGCCACTCCTTCCTTAATGCTAAAATGTAAAAAAAAAATTAGGACTGCCAAAGAAATGCCTTAGTTCTCACGAATCTGAAAGAGTCATGTTGAAACAAATTATCCTAAATTAGTGGCTTAAATGAAAATATGTTTAATTTAAGTATCTCATAGCTTTTCAATGAATACAAGGGTAGACTAGCCACAGTCTCTGATTCTTTCATGAAGTTTCAGCTACACTATCCACTGAACTCTGGTTTCATCTGGGCAGGAAGTAGGGTTATTCCAACCCATCATTTTCTCACTGAAACCCGGCTCCTAGAGCAGAAATGATGTGATTGTCAGCCGGCCCTGAAATCCAACCACACAAGCCTCTCCACAGGGCTAACAGGTCATATGGCTTGATCCAGGTCAGTCATCCAAGCAAAGACAAGAATCACACAGAAAAAGGAGCCACAGTATATTTACAACTGGAGCCAGGAAGTGACAGTAAGTCTTTTCACCAGATTCCATTCATTAGAAGTCCCTAAATACAGTCTTCCTTCTAGGGGAGAGGTTGCTTAGGGAGTTCCAGGTAAGTGCATAGGCACTAGGGGTTAGGGTTGTACACTAATGATGGAGGTGTAGACATTAGGAGGTCTGGGTGTGTACACTAGTGAGTGGGGTATGGAAGCAAGTGTGGACATTAGGGGCATGGGAATGGAGATACGCGGGTGATGGTCTGCAGGGCTATCTTGGGGTGCACCTACCAACTCCTCCTTTAGTTGAGAGATGTCTGTTTTCTGCATCAGGCTTTCCAGAGACGAAGGTGGACAGGCAGCATAAGTTCTGACGTTTGTGTGTGTGCGCGTGTGAGTGTGCACACAAAGTATGTGATAGTCAGAGAACAACCTCAGGTGTTGGCCCTCAGGTGCCTTCTATCCTTTGAGGTAGGGTCTTTTGTTGAACTGGGACTTCAAGTAGGCTAAGCTATCTGGACCCCGCACCTCAGTGATTCCCCCATCTTTGCCTCCCATCTTGCCATTGCTGGAATTATAGGCAAGTGCCACCACACCTAGTTTTTTATGTAGGTCCTGGGGATCTGAACTTAGGTCCTCACATTGGCAAGTCAATCGCTTTACTAACTGAGCCATCTCCTAGACCAACGAGTTCTATACTCATCATGCCGTCCTATTGGCCTAATAACAGGAGGCTGGCCTTTTGTAGCTCACCACTTTCAATGAGCACAGACAATAGCTTAAACTAGTCTGCCACCGTTATATCCCACACATTGTCTCAGCTTCTAATATTGGCTGGATCTCTAGCTAACCAACCCCAGATTCCCATTTGTTTTGCCTCTATTCCCACAGCCACTTCTGATGCTAACTGTAGCCTGCCTTATGCTTCAACTGAAGAGGGCTGACTTAGCAAGGGGAGACAGTCACTTGTTAGGTCTGAGGATTTCCAGGAATGCCAGAGACACGCTCATTGGGTGAAAGGCCCAACACAGCACAGGACTGACCTCCTGGAAACCCAATTGCCATCAGCCCAGTTTCCACCTGCTCCTGGAAATCCTGCTGTGCCCACCTGTGTGGGTGGAAAAAGCATAGCCTCACTGAGGTAACTGGCTTGAAATGCTTTCAGGACATTTCATCTGTTGGTTTTAAGAGAAGGCCCTATCAGATGGTAAGGTGATAGATAGAGAAATCTCATTTGTAGAGTGAAGGTCTGCATATTTGTGGGATGCTAAGTGTTTAATGTATCCCACCTCTGTTAGGACAGGTCACCTGGTACCCACAGCACCTCACTGGACTCTTTGGGTGGAAATTAACAAAGAGAATGATCAACTGAACCTTACTGAAGGAATCAAGACGGACAGAAGGAAGCCTTCTGGGGTAACCATGTGTCCCAATTCTCTCAACAAGGTTAGTCACTCACCTCCCACCTGACTGTCATCCCAACATGCCCACGATCACTGAAAATAATGAAAGATTTAAATCCAGTCAGCTTAGAGCCTTATTTTGTACGTGACTTCACAGGGAATTTAGCAGTTCGACTTTGCTAAAGTGATGAGTATGCTTAAGCCCTAATTAAATTTCAGATAGCTAACTATGGACACTCAGGGAAAACACACACACACATACACACACACACGAGAAAACACACACACACACACACACACACACACACACACACACACACACACACACACACACACACACACTCCATGCCAGGCAAGCTGGGTCTCAGAGTAATCTCCTTAGAGCAACTCCCAGAGTTGTGTATTGGGGTGCTCCCCCGAACTATGTCTTGGGGTGACCCCTCAGAGCTTGGCTTCAGAGCTCCATCACCTCATGTAGACCTGAGCTATTCAAACCCTATTTGGAACAGGAAAAAATGTTCTGGGAAACAGATCCTTGGACTCTCTAGGACTACTAGAAGACCACCTAGGGCAGCCAGCATCCATACAACCAGCTTTCCAAAGCATGCAACAACCTCCTCAGCTGCCCTGGAGCACCACAGGAGGCAATCTGTGTGGCAGGTAATATCAGGAGGCCAGAAAGGCCTGTACAGGACTTAACGTTGTTTTCTTTTTCACCCATCGCCAATCTCAGACTTACACCTTCCTTCTATTAGAGTTCCATAGATGTTGTCCAATTGGGAACTGTATGTACTGGTTAGTTGGGAGAGGCAAGGGAGAGCAGACTGTGAGTGCTACCACACAGAGACATCCTTTCAGATGAAGCTTGACTAAAAATCATCTTCTGTTGAAGTTCAAATGTGAAATGACCCCCATAGGCTCATTTTTTCTTTTTTTGGACACTTGGTTCCCCAGCTGGTGGCACTGTTTTGGAAGCCTGTGCAACCTTCAGGAAGTAGATTCCTACTAAAGGAAGTGGGTCACTGGGGGTGGACCTTGAGGTTTTATAATACAGACCCACTTCCTGACCTCTTTCTGGTTCCTGACTCTTGATGCAGTGTGGCCAGCCATCCCACTCCTGCCATTATAACTAACGACCATAATGAACTATGTTTCCTTGAACTGGGAACTAAAATAAGCCTTTCTTTCAATATGAGCAACAGGTAAAATGACTGTGATATCTTCCTTAATGATTACCTATCCTTTATGATATATACGCCACAAAGTTAGTCTATTTTCTAGACACAGTTTCCTAAAATGTGTAGTATTGCTGTGCCTCTTAGTTGTCAAATTGACACATCCCATAGTTACCTGAGGGAGTCTCAGTTGGGTGACTGTCTTGATGAGAATGGCCTATGGGCATGTCTAAGGGGCATTTTCTTGATTGGCTGATGTAGGAGGGCCTAGTTCACTGTGGGTAGTGGTACTCCTGGGCAAGTGGTTCTTTTTTGTATAAGAAAACAGGCTGGGAAAGCCAGGGAAGCAAGTAGTTCTTGCCCTGACTTCCCTCAGTGCTGGATTCCAGTCCAGAAGTGTAAACCAAATAAAATTTCCTCCTCGAGTTGGTTTTGGCTATGATGTTTATCACAGCAATGGAAATCAAATGAGGGCCCTACCGTGGTTCCCTCTGTCTTACAGGAATGGTTATTTCATGACTTCTCCTTCTGGCTCCTCATCTGTAACAGCTGTTGGACTGATGACCACTAATGCCTACCACTATTTCAAAACACCTACGAATTCACATGAAAGCTTATGGTCATCATCCTTGTACAAAAACAGGAGATGGAACAGTGATTCTCTGAATGAACCTGAGGTCTCTAATTGAAGTTATTAACTATAATAGGGACAAATGATATCCTCAAAGGAAATCATGGCTTTCTGCTTCTCTCAAGCATGGTAATCCTACCAGAAGCCTTAATACTTTCCTGTGGCTTCCTCCTTGAACGGTGTGAGGAGTTACAGGCTCATTTCCCTCATCCCACCTTGTTGATGGCATTATTCATTGTGTATTTAGCATCTAAATTAAATGAATGCGTTATCACTGGCAAGCACATTTGTTTTACATCTCAGGCAACATACTGTGGCATTAGCATTTATAAAACATAAATAGTGGTGACATTCCTGTTCATTTTGTTGAGTTCAGGAAGGAGGCAAAGGAAATGAGATGGGGTTGTCAGGCACGGTCTGGCTCCGTAGCTGCCTGGCTGCCAGCAGCAAGACCACCTGCCACCTTGGGTGTGCTAGAACCCTGATATTATGAATCCAATGGTGGAGTTTAATAAGAGGGCAGAGACATTTGCAGTCAGGAGCCTTCACATTGGCTACGAAGGCTGCCACAGAGTTATGCTCTGTGTAATATAATACAGTGGAAAAGGGGTTCCAGGACTTGGATTTAAGTCCTTGTTCATCATTCTATACCAGGTCTACTTTCAAGACTTCCAGAGATGACTCAGCCAGCAAATGTATTCACTTTGCAAATGTGAGAACTTGACCTTCAGAGTCCATGTTTTGTTTTGTTTTTTAAAGCTAGACCTGCCAACATACATTTGCAATCCCAATTCTGGGGAGGTAGAGACATATGGATCCCTGGGACTTGCTGGCCAGCTAGTCTAGTTTGCTTGGTGAGTTTCAAGCCAATGAGAGACCCTGCCTCAAAAACAAGGTGATTAGAGCCTGAGAAACAACAGCTAGAGTTGACCTCTGCTTATGATATACCCATGCATGCACATGTGTGCACAATCGAGCACACACACACACACACACACACACACACACACACACCACACAAATACAGTGGAAAGGGGAATTCCAGCACTCATATTTAAGTCCTTACACACCATTGTGTGTAATGTCTACTGCTAGTCTCTCTTCAAAGACATTGAACACTGAATTTAAGATGGTGGAATTCATTTTTCTTCTAACTGCCATTTGTCTGGTTCTGGTATCTGTTTTCCAGCTATGAATGAAGCCGGGTATCTACTAAAGAAGCTGGGAATCAGTAGGATGGGATAGGCCGGGGTAGGGAGATCTATAAATTATAGCCACCTCACCCATTCTGTCAGGTTCACTCTTTGGGGCCTTGAAGGCCACACCAGGACAATGATGAAAAGCAGGTATCCAGGAGTGCGGCTGTGTAAGCCCGTGCTTTTCCCTTGCCCTGCTGTCATATGGTCCCCTCCTGGAAGGGAAGGACAGTGGAGCATGCATGTGATTTATCACAGGTGTCAAGTCTGAAGAACCACACACAAGGCTGTGGAGCCATGGCTCCTGCAACTCTGCTTCTTTGCTGATGTGGATCTAGTGATGGAGTAGCAGGCTGTCTATTCACACCCCCCCTGACGGATACACACATTCCAGAGATCATTTGGAGAGTAAGCATCGATGAGGAAATCATTAACAGGCCTGGGACCTTCTGGGGTGGACTGTGGGGGATCTTCCAGTCCATCTTTTAAGTTCACTTAGAACCAGTTCTTCAGCTTCTGTGATGAAGGGGCCACCCAGCCTTGTATGGACTGGGATGCTTCATCCCTGAGAAGAAGATGCCTTCATGTCTTGGTGAGGAAAGAAAAGAGGCATTGATGACTAAGGAACCCCAGTCCATGAGATTCAAGCTCTCAACTCTATCGCTGTTATCTGATTTCTGCTTTGCCAGCATCTTCCATGAAGCCTTGGTAACAGTGTCTGCTCACATACCATAGAGGGGCTAACTCCTACAAAAGGGAAAGACATATTTGTCCCTGAAAGCAGGGAGTACAGGATGCAAGAAGCTGTGGCGTGTCCCTACCCTGCTGTCCCTGATGGACACAATCTGTTGTGAAAGTGAGATGACACAGCTTGCCCAAAGGAGCATTTTACTAAAACTCAAACCTGTGGCATAACATTCTATTCTCTGAGTATGCTCATGTAGTAGATCCACTTATGGTCTGGAAGCCAGAATGCAAAGGCATCTTACAGAGGAGGGAAGAATGAGAGGCTGAGGTTTCCCCAGAGAAAGCAAAGCAGTGACTGATCATGGAGTCTGGCTGGAACCTCAGCCCCACACCATGGGTACCAAGGGCGCCTGCCCCTTTATTCAGGGGCATCACAAGAGACTCTTAGCCTGGACTTGGGCTCCTGAAAGTGTTCATTATTTTATCCTCTGAGACTTTCTGTAAGGGAAAGAGAGGTACAGGCACTAAAAGGGGAGGACAGGAAGGTGGAATTAGGAAGAAAGCGATGTCAAGGTATAATGCACTGTGATGGTTCCTTCTGAGTCTATGGGACTCTGGCCACTGTGGAAAACCATGTCAGTGCCTCAAAAAGTGGATCAGCATTTCTACAGGATCCCACAGGCCACATCTGGGTCTTCATCTTCCAAAGCAGGAAGGAGGGACTCAATCTATATACCTAAGTTCCCAGAAGTGTGGTTCCTAGGAGTACCATGGTAGATGCAACCCACTGGTCCAGCAGACAACAGCACAGTGTAAGTGAGATGTCATTGGTATATATGGTGGAATATTATTCAACCATAAAGATCCCTGGTGGATAGATGAAATATAAAAATGTCATCATGCTAAATGATGAAGCCAGACAGAAAGACAGATTCTCTCTCTCTCTCTCTCTCTCTCTCTCTCTCTCTCTCTCTCTCTCTCACACACACACACACACACACACACCCCCACCCCCCGCGCGCACGCACACAAGTGGAGAGAGAGAGAGAGAGAGAGAGAGAGAGAGAGAGAGAGAACGAACCATAGACCCAAATCAAATCATAAGGGTTTCTTGCTCCAGTCATGGCAACTCTTAACAAAAATCTCACATACAGCCCAACTTGGCTGGTGCCTGGCACAGAGACTGACAGGTATTAATATTAATACACTATTTTTCTGGCTTCTTAACTATCATTATTTATTTTATTTGTTATCATTTGTGTGGGGGGGTAGCATTATTTTGAGACATGATATCTCTCTTTTTTTTTTTTTTTCTGTTGATGAGTTGTGTAGTTCAGGCTAATGAACCATGAGCTCCTGGAACATTCTTCTAGCTCCCTCATGTCTCTCACTTTAGGAGTGCTGGGATTACAGATGTGCACCACTGCAACTGGTCTTTTTGCTTTATTTTGTTGTTGCTTTGTTTTTCAAGGCAAGGTTTCTCTGTATAGCACTAGCTGTCCTCGAACTCACTCTGTAGGCCAGGCTGGCCTTGAATTCAGCAATCTGTATGCCTCTGCCTCCTGCGTGCTGGGATTAAAGGCCAGCTGCATATGGCCTTTTTATACAGGTTCCTGGGGATTGAACTTGGGTCTTCAGGCTTGTGTGGCAACTGGATTATTGTTTTTATGTAGAAGGTGAACTGCATTTGATTTTTTATGCATAGAATACTCATTGAAAAGTAAATTGCCCTTTAAAAATAAGTTTGGTTATTAGATCAAAACTAGACAATCTAAATGAGCAAAAAGAAAGAGCCAATACCATCTAAAGCCTGATTAAGCAATCATAACCATTGTAATATTTGGTATCATTCTCAATTTTATCTACTATTTATGTATCTAGAAAATAAAATCATAATTTGTATTGTTTTACAATTGATTTTTCCCCCAGTTAAGCTTATTCATTCAGCAATCATTTGTTGAGCAATTGCCATGTCAAGTTTTCCAGGCAAAAAGAACAGAAAATGCAAAGGCCCTGGGGCAAGTAACAGCATTATAAATATCTTTTCACATTTCAGTGCATTTAGAAGCTTTTTCTATTTCAGCCCTTTAGAGTCAACACTTTATTCCCCTTTACAGTTGCAGCATAATTTCACTAGTCTCTTACTTGGAGGCATTCGGGTTGTTCCCAAGTTTATCTTGTCACGAACAATATGGCGTGGAAATTCTTGTTTACAAACCCTTAGTCACACCACTGTTTTGCTGGTTTACTGAGTGTGGAGCAGCACACCCGGCAGATGGTCAGAGCTCCCACCATGCTTGTAGAGTAAGTAAATAAACCAGTGATCGGCACCCTATTTCTAGAAAACACTAGGAGTGGAATTACTCACAGTCCCTGTAATGCAACTCTGCTCTAAAAGCTATATGCATACTAATATGTATTACCCTCCATCTATCCTAAAAAGTGCCTATTGCATGAGTAGGGATGAGAGGCATGAAGTGACTGAGCACCTTGCTCGAAGTCACATGGCCAGTAGGTAGCAAGTGACTTCAAACTCCAGTTGTCCACCCTAGAGGCTGTGCTCAAGCATTCATTCAACCTACTCCCTGCATGGTACAGGGGCCTGGGATGATCTAGCCCCTAGGGACTTACCTCAGTGACCTACCTCCTCTAACTAGTGCTAGACTTACTTCCCAACAGTACCATCAAATTATGACTCCAAAGGGGATGAGTCCATTGGTTAGGTCAGAGTCTCACAAGCCAATCATATCAGTGATTGGATCCACCAGCTGGAGACCAACGCTGAAGAGAAGAGCCTTGGGAGTACAGGGGAGACATTCAAACCATAACACTTCCCAGTCAGTGAAGTCCAGGAGCTCTGAGTGGTGAGACTCAGTCTCTTCCAGGATTCTTTGCAGTTCCTCAGGGTCCAGTGGGTTATGATTCCTAATATAAGTTGTCTGCCACCACCTGTGAAATATGCAATATGGACCAGACTAAGTACAACATGATAAAGCTTCCATTCACAGCAACTCTCCAGACTGGCAGGCCAGAGGTACTGTGGGAGAGGTTCCTGGATCAGCCATGGACCCAGTTTCTATGATAGGATAGCTTGAAACTAGTTAATATCTAAAGAAAGTTTAATTATTAAGAAAGGTTTAATTAGGTGGGCTGTAATGGTGCACACCTTTAACCCCAGCACTCGGGAGGCAGAGGCAGGCAGATCTCTGTGAGTTTGAGGCCAGCCCGGTCTCAAGAGCAAGTGCCAGGATAGGCTTCAAAGCTACACAGAGAAACACAGTCTCAAAAAACCAAAAAAAAAAAAAAAGGTTTAATTAAAGATGGGCTTGTAAATTAACATTGGACATCAAGTTGTCTGTTCTTTTCCAGAAACGGCAATCTCTCCAGAGTCAGATGTCAAAGCTTCAGAACACAAAAGATGGAAGACATGGTAGGCACACAGGACTGCCCAGACTTTGTTGTCTACTCTGATTTTCGGACAATGGGTGTCATGACTTTCTCCACAAACCAAAGGCTCCCTGGCCTGAACTTCTTGTTCCTATGACAGTGTAATAGTTTCTTACCAACTGCCTTCAGTCAGCTCCAGGATGAGCAGCCTCACTGAAGGCCTGAACTAGCAGGGAGGACCATCAAGTTCATCTCAGTGTCACCATGCTTAGATGAGATGCCAGTCTGAAAACTTGGTGACTGGATCCGTATCACAAACCAAATCTCTAACTTGGAAGACTAAGCAGCCATTGATTGGCTTATTGCTTATTATCTGGAGTCCCTAACTTCCTTCTTTTTTTTAACAAACAAAATAAATATTCAAAAGTTATTTGCAAAGTATGCATTATGCAAATCCAGTGGCTGTGTTTCAAGAAGTATATTTAAGAAGCAGAATAAGCCCTTCAATTGGCAGTGCTTCTAGGTACAGTACTGTTAGCTTTGCTGGAAGATCCAAATGCTATCATTGTTCAAATGCTGTGCCGTCAGGCTTGCATATTAACTGAAAGGAATGTGAACAGATGATATAGGAGCATAGGAAGCATGTCTTCATAGAATATTTGCCATCGCAACGGAGCTCACTAATGACCCAGCTACAACCCTAATTCACCTTAATCCTAATTCACCTTAACTCTAACCCTAACCCACCTTAACTCTAGGCCACCCTACTCCTGGTCCCTCTGTTTCCTTCCAGCTGACACTCAGCCATGGGGCCATTGTTCCGTATTTTTTCCCTTACAGCAGCATTGATTTCTAGGTCCTAGTTCTCAGAACTTCTCACATTGCTAGCTGATTGGCTAGATGACTGGCTCCATCCTTGGTGGTTTAAGACAATTTCATTTCTTGTCTGTGAAGAATACACCCATGAGGAGAGAGACAGTTGAAGGGAAAGGACCAAAATTCAGTGTCTATAAACTAGAAATGAGATGATTTATGTATTCACATCAGGACACCTATTTTGAATATCATTAACATTTTAACGCCATCGTACAACTACATGCATCAACTCAACAATCACTCAACAGCGATCTGATTGGATTTTCTCTTACTAGAGCACTGTACTAGAAGCCCTTGGGGGATCTGGGGATATGCAAGGAAGAAAATGATAGTTCCCCTCTTGCTCTGAGTCTTATGAAATGCCAGGCTTAGTTCCAGTGTTGGTTTGAGAGGGTCAGCTGGAGCTGGCCTCTGATGACCATTGTCTTGAGTAGCTGCTGACCCTGCTGTAGAGCAAGCTGATGCCGTGTGCCAAGTTATATGGGGTGATGTGTCTCCTTGCTAGGAATACAAATGCATCTCTCACTTTGGCTGTCGTTTTGGACTTCTTTGCTAATAAATATTCAAAATCCTGAATCAGGATATGCTCTGTAGCATCTTCCTAGTTGTATGGGTCTTAGGAGATGTTAGAAGCTGAGATACTCAATGTGGGGTGCAGATACATAAAGATGGAAAAGAGCAAGAAGGCCTGTGGGTCAGCACAGGGGGTCTGCAGTGGACACTTCCCTCATGGCTGTGAAAATCCGAGGCAAGAAGCAGCTTAAAGGGAGGGAGGGAGGGAGGGAGGGAGGGAGGAAGGGAGGAAGGGAGGGAGGGAGATAGAGAGAGGTATTAGGTTAGAAATGGGCCCAGGGTAGAGCTGCCCAACAACCCATGTTCTCTCGGTAGGCCCACTTCCTAAAACAGCACCACCAACTGGTGACCAAGTGTTCAAATACATGATCCTGTGGGGAGGCTGCACATTCAAACCACAGTACCAAGACATAGCGTTAAAGTCAAAAAAGAAAGAAATCAAACCGGATGCTCCCCTTTCCTCCTCTGACTCCATGATTGGCACACACAGTGACTTCTGTAAATTCAACATCTTAACTCTATGTTAGGATAATTCCAAAACCAGATTCCTATATGGCAGTTACAAGAGGCCCAGATGTTACAGATATGACTTCTCCATATTCTTAAGACTGAGAATTCAGGTCTCTAAGCCTGATTACAAAGATGATGTGCAGCTGGTGGCCTCCAGGAAAGGTCAACTGGGAAAATGAAGAGCTGGGCTAAAGGGTTTTACAGGCTCAGGTTGCTGTAGGAATTACAGTCAAATCTATGAAGATGGAGTTCTCCCTCACAGAATCACCAATGCTGCCAAGAGCAGTGTGCCCAGAGCAGTGTGCCCAGGCCTCCCCAGTCCCGGGAACACAAAATTGAAATATGAAAACAGCTTGCAGAGGAGAAAGCACAAAGTTAGTTGCTTCACAGAGGTTTCCACAGCTCCTTTCCCATCCTTCTCGAAAGCTAATGACAGCAAAATGGGGCTTGAAGAATGAGGCTGGTATCTCAGCCATTTCAGGCCCATCATTAATTTCCTGTCCAGACTGATTAGTGGCCCTGCCTTTCCGTCCCTATCTCTCTCCTCTGGTGCACTGGTAAAGACTCCTCCATCCTTCTCACTCCCTTACCAGCTTTATCTTGACAAGGGCCATGCGTCTCTGTTCAGTTCATTGTTCTTTTCTCCACCTCCAGGCGTCAGCGTGCATCTCCTTTACCAGGAAATCTACACAGAATCATTCCCCAAATCTATTGTGTAACTCTTCCTGAGGAGATGCGTACACACATCTATTCACCCCAGACGGGGCACAGACAACAGACCAAAGAAACTATTCCATCTTTGCCTAGCTTTGTGAAGCAATAGTTTATTGTGCTTACTTACAAGAGTGTGGGTAAGGGACTATAGGAACATGTTGACTCAGAGGAAGGGGCATCACAGAAAAGCCCACCCCAGAATTGTAACAGTGCATGCAAGTTGCATCCCAGGAGCTCTCTAACTTGCAGTCAGCTCCGTGTGTGTGTGTGTGTGTGTGTGTGTGTGTGTGTGTGTGTGTGTGTGTGTGTGTGTGTGTGTGTGTGTGTGTGTCCTCCTTTCCCCTAGCAGCCATTGACTGCTTTTGTAGCACATGGAGGGGCTTTGCATATCTTGGAACTCTCCAAGTCTCCCAAACCTTGTTTGTCTCTTTGGCTTCTGGAGTCTTCTGGGCCAGCCTCTCTTCTTCCAGCAGAGCATGATTCCATTTGGGAAAAACAACTACAACAGCAGGAATTTCAGAGGTCTCAGTTTTCTCTGGTTAGCAAGGTCACAGTGCTTCTGACTGGATTCCTATAGAGCTGCTCTGGTCTTCCTTGAAGGCCTTGACTTCTCCCTCTGCTGGCTTCAGAGTGGCTCTGTAGAAATCTGTTAGTGTTCCTTCCAAAAATGCTGCTTGGGGAGGGAGGATCCCAGGACGAATGGGTTGTGGACAGGGCATAGGCAGGGGCCTTGGCAGAGTTAGACAAAGTGTGTCTTCCCTTTGTATTCTACAAACCAGCAGGCCTCAGCCTACTCACCAATCCTGTAAGTAGCCTTGGCCAGAGAAGATACACGAGACACTGGTACTCTTTCAGATTCTCCCTTCCAGAATAAATTCTAAAGAGATTCAGGGGTAGGGAAGAAGCAGAGAGGACAGGTGCATGAAGAATATCCATGACTCCCCTTGAGCTCAGGAGCAATGCAGGGGCTTCAGCTTTACCCCTTGGCAAAGCATTGACTCCACACAGTGACAAAAGGACAGCTGGTGTTTGTGCCGGCCTTCCATCTTGGGCCCTGCACAGCCTTGTTTTGTCCTCTCAGCAGCCTCATGAGGGAGGGCTTCAGTCAAGGTAACTCTGTGGAGGAGGAAATGACATCAACCTAATCTGAGCACCTTGCTCTAGGACCCAGGACAGATAGCAGCAGAGCAAGCCTCCCCGGAGAGCATGACACCAGAGCCCTGCTCCTCACCGCTAGTTCCCAGACACTTTGAGCCACATGCTCCTTCAATCAAAGAGACAGCAAAAACAATTCCGTAGTTTTGACGTATATGCTACTGTGAATACACATATGTGCTACTGTGAACTTGTACCCAGCATCAGCAACACCACTGAGCTGTAGTGACTCACTTTAAGCCTGTAGAGAACAAGAGCCAGGGATTCTGAGATTGGAGGAAAACACAAGGACTTGGTTTCAATCTGCAGAATCCAAGTTTCAAAAAAGAAAAAAATCTGTGGTATGTTTATTACCTCAGTGCTGAGGAGGTGAAGACAGGATGCCCGTGATGCCCCGTGCACACACATGCATACACAGGAACAGAAAGGGAGGGCAATTTCTGACACATGCCCCTGCCTGGTAGATGTGTGTAACTGAGTGGGTGCCCTCTCTTTGGGATGCACTGTAGCCCTTTGGGGAGGCTGCATCTCGAAGTCATGTATTTCAGAGGCCAGGGCCCTCTTTCTTTGAGTAGAGTGCTACTCCCAGGAGTCATTAGCACTGGGGAAGGCAGGACCCCTTCCTTTTTTTCTGTTGTACCTGCGTCCTCACCTGGTATGGTATAGTTCCAGTACTCTGTGGTTTCAGAGGCCTTGAGGGCTTCAGCTGACCACTAGAAGGCATGCTTTTCTATGATCTAGTCAGGACTGAGAGGGGAGGAGTCCTTCCACAGGATGGTAAGCCCTGAGAAGGTGAGGGATGCCAGGGCCCCAGCTGGCATACCAACAGCAGAGGTTGGCAATGACCAGGTGGGGCCACGTATGTGTTTACAGGGAGATAAAACACAGAGCCATCCTACTTCTGTGAGGTCAAAAGGCTGTGTTTGTCTGGCTTGGCAAGGTATGGAGCTGGCAGAGGGAGCCAAGGCCATCTGGACTGACTCAGTGTGCGGTGCCTGTCCCCGAGAGTACATCAGGATGTCATGGAGGCAGGAGGTCGCAGGGTGTGCCAGCAAATCTTGGAAGGTGTCATTCATAAAATATTGAATGACCAAGGAGGTGGCACACAGGCCACATGGCAATGACAGGTTCTAGGGGGGGAACAAGATGGGAAGGGGACCTCCATTCATTCCTGACTCATCCGGCATGGGCTGAATGCCCATGGGCTCTCGTCTGTGTGGACATGAGCCATGAAGCCAATCCAACAGTTCTGACAGCAGAAGCAAGCTCTGGCCTGGGGTGGCCACTCTGTGGACCATAAGCATTCCCTATAACAGTGTTCCGTGTTACTCCAGGACAAAACTCAGTGGAATATCAGCCAAGAGCAGAATGATGGAGAGATTTTCATCCTACAGATCATTTCAGGGACTTCTAACCTCATTGAGAAAGGATATCAGGTTCATAACCTAATCTTACAGGGAGAGGGAGGGGTGAGTGAAGAAGGGCACATCCTTGTGTTTATGAGAACTACAGGGCAAACTTACCACCATATAGGGGACAGCCACAAACTGGACTAGGGTAGATGCCATGCAAATTCATAGCCCTATGGAAACTTTCCTAAGAAGCTACTAACTTGCTCTGCTAGTCTGTCTCTGATGTAGACTCCCTTCTTCCAGAACCTTCTAGAGCACTTCTCAGTGTGTCCTCTGCAGCTCCAGCCAGAACAGAGGTCAAAGACACCTAGACCTAGAATTTTTTGACATCCTTGAAGATATCCCTTGACATTTTTCTTGCACTCTGACATTGGGACCAAGGAATTGTATGACTCCCTCTGGGGTCTTCAAACATGGATGATTTATTACCTGTGTTAGATCTGAACACACAGAGAAATGAGGATGAATGGCAGAGAGGGGGGTGGGCAAAGAAGATGGCAGGGAAGCCATGGAGGGTTAAACAGCTCCTGAAAGTACATCAGGTTCCCCTGTTCCTGAGTGGTCAGCTCTCTTGTCCTCATCCATGGCTCGTGTTATGTTCTGCCTCTGGGTTCTATGAACCATCTTGGTAGCTGCCACTAAATATGCTTTGACTTTTACACATAGGAACATTTCTCAGGCTAAGTGACCCCAAACAGAGATAGAAGGCTGAACTTGCCTGCACATCCCATGAGTGGCTGTGAGATTCCAGGCTCCAGCAATCCAAGAATTCCTCCCACTGTCATCTGTCACATTTTTCAAGTCCTTCCATGAGTTACATGCCAGGTTGTAATAGGAAATCCCATTAGGAAGACCATGGGGCTGGAGAGATGGCTCAGATGTTAAGAGCACTTGTGCTCTTCCAAAGTTTGGTTCCTACAGGGTTGGGTGGCTCACAACTACCTGTAACTCCAGCCTCAGGGCATCTGATGCCCTCTTCTAGCCTTCTGGGGCACCTGAACTCACACACAGACATAAAATTTAAAAGAAAAAAATTTTAAAAAGAGGCTATAACTCCAGGCTGATAAAACAAACCCACATTAAGCTAGATATTAGGATCCAATATT